ACATTCATATAATTTCCAAACTAAATATGCAAATTAGATCTTGATTTGCAAAATTTAATGTAATTGACATCACTAAAGCTACCTAAATACCAAACATTTACAATGATCCGTTTAATCGGCTTTTTTCGTTATCCTCACTCGGACATTTTTTTAAACAAACTGCCTGCTGTTCTATAACAAATTCCAGGGGGCCTAATTTAAACTTACTTTACTTCTTCCCCAGCACAAGAGGAGCTACCTTCCATCCAAAATTGATGACCTTAGCATGTCCAGATCGCGAGATCGCTAAAATTCCGCTGCAGTACAAAGGGAAGACACTAGGTTAAATGGCGTTTAGAACTTGCAGACTCGTCGGCCGGCATTAATCGCTTATTAATAACAAACCTTTACAAGACCATGGGCCTGAGTAGGTAAATAATTTCAGGTAAGGCCATGTTGATTTAATTATATGGATGACATATACGCGCGCATGGATTTTCGGCTGTTAACAACAACAACAAAAAGTTTTCAATCATACTGTAAATCGTACAAAACAGTTGCAAAACTAAAAAGGCCAACATTTGGTTCGGAGCAAATGAAGAATATTTCACTCCATCTGCCTCCTCAAATAAAAATAGAAGATTCTAAATAAACCATACTGCAATTATATATATATACAAGGTAAAGCACTTTGAATCTCGACAGCTTTACTTTACACTTACTTAATTTTAAAAGTTATATATTGCAGGAATATTAAAAGTACTAATGACGAGATTGTAACTACTACGTAACGGTAGCAAAATTTCACGGTCTGAGAAAAATGAACATGTTAAGGGAACTATATATTCACGATGGTGACAGGTACAGTAAAAAGAAAGTCCAGGAATTCTTTGTTAACTGTAATGATAAGTTCACGGTACAGAGGTGACAGTGAAAACCGTGAACATAAAGGTACAGTAAAAAAATCAGATATCACAGTAATCAATTTACGAAGTATGTTTGCTTCGTTTCCAGATGTTTTGTATGATTGTCGTAAACTTAGTTTGGAAATGAACGAAAACTGATTCGCGCACAGATGTCATCCATATAATCAAATCAACATGGTCTTATTTACAATCACATAAACTATGAAACCATACATTGAATAAGATACATATACTATGATTATCATAACCTTTACTTTTTTTTCAAATCATGTCGATGAGCTAATTGCATGTACATAATAAAAGAAAGTAAAGTAAAGTAAAGTAAAGCAATCAGATATCTGTACTAGGTATAATTATTTATTCTCATCGTCATCATTCTATGTTGTCTTTCTCTTGCTGCTAGCTAGTGACTGGTAAGACCTCTGTAGGTTCTTCAGTATGTGGTAGTATTCGACAGAAATACAGCCATGTCCTATAAGGTCATCGTCCACTAGAAAAAAAGCGTCGTCCAAAATGGTTCTAAAAGGTCATTGTTTATTCGAACAAAACCTGTGAACGGAACTAGAAGTAACCGAATAATGACAATAGTTAAAGGTCACTAGAAACTACAACATCTCTTTCCATGACCTGTCGGAGGTCATGGAACTGAAGCTAACGCACAGTACTAGTCTGTACAAGTATCCAAGCAGAAATCTATGCCGACAGAACACGCACATTCATAAAGAACTTTTACATTATCAAAACTAATGTATTTGTCTAACATTCACCCACATTTCTATCTCGATGCCATGCACAGAATAATCTCTGCACCTTTATCTAGTATAGTGCAGCACTACTTTGTGCCTGTACTACTTATCCAAAGGCAAATCTACGCCGACTGAACACGCAACATAATTCAACTTTTTTTCAGTCTCAGACTACGGGATTCGCCCATAAATAATGTGTTGTGCGGCCTTAAGGGGTGCATCCATAACATGAACTTTTTTTACAGACAGAACATTTCTTGTTTCATTTCGTATGTAATAGTATTGTCTGTTCACATTGCAAGTTTTCTCATACTTCGAAAAAACTTTCGACACCCTCCTCCATGACGTCACCTTTGGTACCTCACAAACGATGCATTTATGGGAGCCTGTATGGGGGGGGGGGGGATCTTGACAACGCTCTACGCTAAATCTTTAGAGCCGGCTAAATATTACGCTGAATTCAGGAAACCTCTCGATTACGCTTTACGATAAATTCCAAGTGACTACAACGCATTACGTAGAATTAAAGTGACAAATACGCTCTACGCAAAACGGTTAATTACACTCGTAGAATAATACGGTCGATTACGATGGACGGAAAAGGCCATGCGGGCCCCCTTTTATATATCGTCACCAGTCTGACCAGGTAACAATTGAAATCTGTCACATCTGGAGATCTGTTTGGAGATAAGAAACACATCTGGCACCGAAGAATGGAGACCGCCTCGCGTGTTCTCGTTATAGCGGCAACTTTCGTCTTGTTCGCGCATATTGTGGGTGCGAGTGCCGATTTCACCCACCACGAGTCTCTGGACGAATACGGGAAGTTTCTACTCTTCTGGAAGTTTGACGAGGTGAAGATCGAGTTGGAGGCCCGGGTGCAGACGACAGGGTGGGTCGGCTTCGGTCTCTCCCCGAACGGAGGCATGCCGGGATCCGACATCGCCATCGGCTGGGTCAAAGACGGGACTGCGCACCTCACAGTGAGTCCTATACAATCTGTTTTTTTTTCGGTCCTTTTTTCTGTGAGGACAGGTAGTCTCCACCAGACTTTTTTGCAGGCTGTGCAAATCTTAGAAATTGGCCTAAAAGCGTATTAATTGGCGAGACTGTCGGCTATCGACGATCAAATCAGCCTGCAAATTTGATCGTCAATGGCCGACTACCTTCTCCCGCCAATTAATACCCTTTAGGCCGATTTCTACGATTTACCCAGCCTGCAAAAACTCTGGTGGATACTAGAGGACAGGTACCTCGGCCGACTTTAGTGAACTGAACGAACGATATTCCACTGATCTCATCGAGACAAACAGACGCTTTGTGAGGAGATTATCTGGCCATAAGAACGACATGGCATAGCGCCACTGCATGGAGGTAGAAAATCAGATTTTCCACCTCCACGGCCACTGGTAGTGATTATGTTAAGTACGTGACGTCAGTCTTACCATCTGACATCTGGAGATCTGTTTGGAGATAAGAAACACAACTGACACCGGAGAATGGAGACCGCCTCGCATGTTCTCGTTATCGCGGCAACGTTCGTCTTGTTCCCGCATATTGTGGGTGCGAGTGCCGACTTCACCCACCACGAGTCTCTGGACGAAGACGGGAAGTTTCTCCTTTCCTGGAAGTATGACGATGAGAAGATCGAGTTGGAGGCCCGGGTGCAGACGACAGGGTGGGTCGGCTTGGGTCTCTCCCCAAACGGAGGCATGCCGGGATCCGACATCGCCATCGGCTGGGTCAAAGACGGGACTGCGCACCTCACAGTGAGTCCTATACAATCTGTTTTTTTTTTCGGTCCTTTTTTTCTGAGAGGACAGGTAGTCTCCACCAGACTTCTTTGCAGGCTGTGCAAATCTTAGAAATCGGCCTAAAAGCGTATTAATTGGCGAGACTGTCGGCTATCGACGATCAAATCAGCCTGCAAATTTGATCGTCAATGGCCGACTACCTTCTCTCGCCAATTAAACCCTTTAGGCCGATTTCTACGATTTACCCAGCCTGCAAAAAAGTCTGGTGAAGACTAGAGGACAGGTACCTCGGCCGACTTTAGTGAACTGAACGAACGATATTCCACTGATCTCATCGAGACAAAAAAACGCTTTGTGAGGAGATTATCTGGCCATAATTAAGAACGACATGGCATAGTGCCACTGCATGGAGGTAGAAAATTCGATTTTCCACCTCCACGGCCACTGGTAGTGATTATGTTAAGTAGTCCGTGACGTAGTACGTGACGTCAGTCTTACCATCTGACTCCCGCCATGGCCTCAGGCTCCTGTTTGTTCACTTGCATCTCAATCATTGTCACAATGCCAAGCGCGACCAGGCACGAACCCTGTACAGAACAATTGAGCAATGCTTTTACCGGTCATTGCAATTGGCAGAATGTTACATTCTAATAATATCCATCCCTATTATTCTAGTAGATTTGCCCACATCTCCCACAATTACCTTCAAAATGTTGCATTTTAATTTCGCCAAGAAGCGGCGAAACTTGACTACACAGCCAAAGTACATAGATTAAAAGCCCGTTTCGTAGCGGTCGTCAAAACGATATCGATTAAAAAGTAGCGAATGCTTTTCGGACTATTCTGAAGTAATAAATTTTTGCCGTGCAACGCACCCTTCCCAACCCCTGCTTTTTTTTTCTTGTATAAAATTGTATGTGCGCCGGCAAAAATTACGCTACCCCAAGATGACTGCCCCTCCTCTCCCCTCCCCCCGCTAAATACCGTACAGTCCCTAACTTAGCCGGCTATATATATATGTTACATATAGGAGAATATTTGCAAGGCGAGTTTGGTTGCCTCCTCCTTGACGTCACCTTTGGTACGTCCCAAACGATGCATTTTATGGGGGTCTGCATGGGGGGTCTCGACAACGCTCTACGCTAAATGTTTAGAGCCGGCTACATATTACGCTGAATTCAGGAAACATCTCGATTATGCTTTATGATGAATTCCAAATGGCTACAACGCATTATGTAGAATTAAAATGGCGAAATCGCTCTAAGCAAAATGGTCAATTACGCTAGCTCTACGTTGAATTAGAGGGGTCCATCTACGCTCTACGTAGAATAAAACGGCCGATTACGATGGACGGAAAAGGCCATGCGGGCCCTCTTTTATATATCGTCACCAGTCTGACCAGGTAACAATTGAAATCTGTCACATCTGGAGATCTGTTTGGAGATAAGAAACACAACTGACACCGAAGAATGGAGACCGCCTCGCATGTTCTCGTTATCGCGGCAACTTTCGTCTTGTTCCCGCATATTGTGGGTGCGAGTGCCGACTTCACCCACCACGCGTCTCTGGACGAAGACGGGAAGTTTCTCCTTTCCTGGAAGTATGACGATGAGAAGATCGAGTTGGAGGCCCGGGTGCAGACGACAGGGTGGGTCGGCTTGGGTCTCTCCCCGAACGGAGGCATGCCGGGATCCGACATCGCCATCGGCTGGGTCAAAGACGGGACTGCGCACCTCACAGTGAGTCCTATACAATCTGTTTTTTTTTTCGGTCCTTTTTTTCTGTGAGGACAGGTAGTCTACAATAGACTTTTTTTGCAGGCTGGGTAAATCGTAGAAATTGGCCTAAAAGGGTATTAATTAGCGAGACTGTCGGCTATCGACGATCAAATCGGCCTGCAAATTTGATCGTCAATGGCCGACTACCTTCTCCCGCCAATTAATACCCTTAAGGCCGATTTCTACGATTTACCCAGCTGGCAAAAAAGTCTGGTGGAGACTAGAGGACAGGTACCTTGGCCGACTTTAGTGAACTGAACGAACGATATTCCACTGATCTCACCGAGACAAACAGACGCTTCTTTGTGGGGTGATTATCTGGCCATAAGAACGACATGGCATAGTGCCACTGCATGGAGGTAGAAAATCAGATTTTCCACCTCCATGGCCACTGGTAGTGATTATGTTAAGTAGTCCGTGACGTAGTACGTGACGTCAGTCTTACCATCTGACTCCCGTCATGGCCTCAGGCTCCTGTTTGTTCACTTGCATCTCAATCATTGTCAGAATGCCAAGCTCGACCAGACACGAACCGTGTACAAAACAATTGAGCGATGCTTTTGCCGGTTATTGCAATCGGCAGAATGTTACAATATCTATCCCTATTATTCTAGTGGATTTGCCCACATCCCCGACAAACACCTTCAAAATGTTTTAATTTCGCCAAGAAGCGGCGAAACTTGACTACACAGCCAAAGTACATGGATTAAAATCCCGTTTCGTAGCGGTCGTCAAAATGATATCGATTAAAAAGTAGTGAAAACTTTTCGGCCTATTCTGAAGAAATTAATTTTGCCGTGCAACGCGCCCTTCCCAGCCCCTGCCTTTTTTCTTGTATAAGATGGTATGTGCGCGGGCAAAAAATTACGCTACCCTCGGATGACTGCCCCTCCTCTCCGCCTTCCCCAGCTAAATACCGTACAGTCCCTAACTAAGCCGGCTATATATATGTTACATATAGGAGAATATTTGCAAGGCGAGTTTTGATGCCTCGGGTCTTGACTGGCCTCCCTTGTATCTCGTGTTTAACCTCTTGACTTTTCGTAAGCTCAGTCCTACCAACGATGTCATGGCCCCGGGCCAGGCGGTACAGCACGGTGTATTCCGTTTTGCCCGAGGTACCAGCCCGACCTCGCGTCGGATCGCCCGACGGCCGAAGTATGACATAATTTTTTAAAAGTCATACCCACCCAGTAAAACACGCCTTTTAATGCGAAATGGGCGAAAATTTGGAGATTTGGTGTCCCTAAACCCAAACAATGCAACAAATTCAATTCCAACGACCGAATTTTGTGTTCGAATTTTTTAAAGCGGTGTAAGCGGGGAAACACGTTTAAATCGTGTCTCTGGAACATTTGGAAGGCCTGGGCCTTACCGCTAGTACTTATTACACGGACGGGAACACCCGCATCGAACGTAATCGCGGCCCAGGTAGGACATAAAGGGAGGTACAGAACGTTCCGCACGACTGTTGCATTCCAAAACGTGCACGTGTTCCATTCCAAATCATGATTTGGAATGATTGCACCTGCATTATATTTATGGGTTCACCACACCACGAAACCATATTGCTTTTTCTGATGTTTCTCCTCCTCCTCCTCCTTCTCCTGCCATTTTTTAAATGGATTCAGCTTCTTCATTTTAGGGCCTAAGGTCCTGAAATTTGGTATGGAGGTACAGTGGGCAAATACCCCTAGGCGTTTTTTAAATTATTGTGATACAGGCTTTTAGAATGGTTTTATTTGAGTTTTTTGGCTGTGTTATAGCAAATGTATTACTGTGTTAGTTTGCCTTGTTTACCACGTTTGGGCATGAGTCATCACAATGGAATGCAGGGCATCAACCAATAGGCATGCAGCTTTCCTCTATACTTCTTGCTGATTGGCTGTTGGGATTTAACTTGATTAACACCTGCACAGAAGCATTTCCATACTGACAGTATGTCTGTATTCAAGTGTTTTGGAAATCAACAGTTTGCATTATGCAATTAAAAATCCTAACCAATAAAGTAGGGAATAGCTATCCAACTGTTGTTTTAGTTGTATTTTACTTCATATTATAGTTATATCAATGTAAATCATTGTTTTCCCTTGTGTTTCTCATTCTTTCCCTGCCATGTGGTAAAATGTGGTGAACCCATCGCTGTATTTGCTCCAAAGCAAATATTGGCCTTTCTAGTCCAAAACGTGATTTGTTCCAAAACATAATTTTTCGGAATCACGTGTCTGGGGGTGGAGCCTCGTACTTCTGATGGCGTGGCTAAATGATACGTGTCTGGACATGTTGTGTAACGCTTAGCGTTTCTTAATGGCTACAGTCTGAGACGTATCAAGTTTAATGTTGAAATGGGAGTGTCAAAATGCCCCACGAGCGTTGTAAGAATACCTGTGTCATGACGTAACTTTAGAAATATTAACAAATAGTTCCCTAAGTTTTAAATCGGTAGCTTTAGGGTATTAGCAGTGTCTGTCTCTCTTTGACCTTCTAAAACTCCTCAGTGTTAGTCACGGTACGACCGTCAATGGACTTATCACACTATTACGTCACAGTCTGTTTACCTGTTCTAAAGAACATTGTAGAACGGTCAGTTGAAGAAAAAAGATCATTTCAAAGTTTTCAAAGTAAGGTATGTTTGATTTTTGTTGCGTCTAGTTTTGTTGACACAGCATTACATGCCGTAATGGGTGATTTAGTTGTGACAGTAGACAAAAGTAGTACTGTATAAAGGCCTTATATAAAGCAAACACCGCGATACTTACGCACCCCTATATAATATAAACATCGATTGACCGGCGTTCATTGTGGTAAACAAACTGTGACGCAATGATGTGATAGGTCCATTAAACTTGGACACCCATACACAGCACCTGTACGGCCAAAGCATGGTGACATGATCCGTGTAACAATCTAAAGGCTCGTCATGCTGAGACAGCTGTCTCCAGGCGTCTGTATCTTTTGCGTCGGCCAGCCGTTCCGGCAGGTTAAACAAAGTCCATTCTACAATGTTGTCCTGTCAGGACTTTCTCTGTCTTCCTCGACAGCGTCCTCCTTACAGAGTGCCCTGGAGGACTGTCTTTGGCAGGTTGTCGCGTCATGTCACCTGGCCGTACCACTGCAGCTTGCGTCTCTTGACAGTTGCTAAGAGTGGTTGCTGCGGGCCATGTGATGTTATGATGCACAGCTTTCCTCACATACTCGTTTGTCTTGTTTTCACGGTAGGTGATGCCAAGAGGTCTCCGCACGCACTCAATTTCAAAGGCCTGAATTTTCCGTTCTGTTGCTACCAGCAAGGTCCAGATTTCGCAACCGTAGAGCAGGTCTGATACCACCAAGGCTTTATAGAGCTTGTAATCTACAGCGCAATGCTAATGTTAGATTTCCAGACCCTGTCCAGACGAGCCATTGCTGCCGTCTGTCTTTCTTTCCAGTTGGTACCACCCTTCGTAATGTACCCACTCAAGTATGTTAATGAGTCCACTTCTTCTAGCTGCTCCCAGTTTCATAAAGATGACTGCTTGTGTCTCTTCCCTGCTGTTAACCATGACCTTACTTTTGTCGGTGCTGACCTCCATGCCAAACGATCCAGTACTCTGCGTTAGCTTGTTAGTGAGATCCTGGTCCAGGAGGTCTATGTTACTACCAGCAAAGTGGTCGATATCATCTGCAAATCGGAGGTTAGAGATTTGTCTGCAATCTAAAGCTAGGGAGACGGAGGTGTGATGATATCCCGCAGTGTGTCTTGCATTATCTTCTCCAGGTAATAAGTTAAACAGAATAGGCGATAACAAGCATTGCTGGCGAACCCCGACTGCCGTCCTGAAGAATTGAAATTAAATATGTATGGAGGAAAGCCGTTAAGCCGTTTGTGCGTTGAAACGGCGATGTTAGTGTCCGCTCGACGTCCAAACGGCCACGTTAAGATTGATGGTATTCTTAGAACCGCAACGTTATAAGGTCGATCAGGGTACGTTAATAGTAAAGTGACCGCAGCGTTATAAAATCGATCAGGGTACGTTAATAAAAAGTGACCACAACGTTATAAGGTACGTTATATTAACAATAACTTGAGTTTTGACGTGAACAGTCAAAGTGTGCCCACGGGAATTTTATCACCAGCCGCGTCCCTTACAGGTGCACAATGAAATGAAATAGATAACAAAATATAAGAAACGGAACTGTTCAAAATTTTAAATACAGAAGTGAGTGGTGAATAAATAATATGATGTGTTTTATTTCTTAAACCTATTCATTGCTGTGTGTGTGGCTAATTTCTTCCTGAAAATGTGTGCACGGCGTTTTGCCCCCTGCGAATTTTTCCCGCCAACTGTTCTATTCATATGCGCACTTCTCCTGATCCTCAATTGTTTTAAGTTCACACATTCTAACATGACAAAGCGTGGGTGCAAGGTATGATCATTTTCTGGCCTGGTACATACACACATCAACATGGTTCCTAACTCTGTGTAATTCAGTTGCGATCAAAACGTAAAAATACTCAGATAGCGGCGGCCATTAGGTTACCCTTGACCGGGCAAGCCAAAATCCTTGATGAGACTTAGACTACATGTTTTTAAAAAACGCCCTTTTCTACACAAAAAAAAACTGATTCGTACTGTAAAAATGATCTTGTTGTTTAAAAATATAACGATACAAAGTAATAAACGTTAATATTACGAGTGCTACTAGTATTTTGTAACACTGCCGACGTCGATCTTTCCACTCTCCGTTGTTGTTTTGATTTTGTCAGCGCCATCATGGTTTCCGTGTTATTGTAAATTAGCGCATGAACCGCCAGTGTTTCTTGAACGCAACAAGTTTAGTTCTTATAATTTTAGACATCCCCGCGAGTTATTCTGTAGTTGTCTCATCATTTCCTCTGGACGTTGTTTCCGAGATCGGCAACACTTCTTGCGGGCAGGCAGAACATCGACAACAAGGACGAAACATTTCGGCTAGAATAATGCCGCAACAAGTTACTACACAAAGACAAAACTCTTTGACTGCTCAAGTCGAAACTCACTTTATTCTTAATGTACCCTGATCGATCTTACAACGTTGCGGTTCTAAGAATACCATCAAACTTAACGTTGCCGTTTGGACGTCGAGCGTACACTATCGTCGCCGTTCCAACGTACTTCATACCTATTTCGTCCCATTTCGTTCCATTTCGTCCCATTTCGTTCCATTTCGTCCCATTTCGTTCCATTTCGTCCATTTCGTTCCATTTCGCACTTTCTGTACACTGATAAAATTGTGAGACAGTTTCCGTTGGTGCTTCAAATGTTTCTCAATTATGAGCCGACAGTTGAAAATTTGCTTTGTTGTGATGCGACCAGGCCTGAAGCCGGCTTACTCTTCAGCGCAGCCAGAAGTTCCTCTGCCTTTGTCTTCAGCCTCTCCAAGATTACTCTAAGTAATATCTTGCTTGGGTGAATTTCCAGACTGATGGTTCCGTAGTTTTGGCATCTGCGCAGGTTCCCCTTCGATATAGGCAGCGGGATGACCAGAAACTGCGTCCACTTCTTCTCCTCCCAGATCTTATGGCATAACTCAAAGTACTTGTCAACCTCTGCAGGAATATTTTTGACTCCTGGAGATTTTCCTCGATTCATGTAACGCACTGCTGCATCTGAGACCTCATCTCTCAGGATTGGAAGGTCTTTCTAACACTCTCTCTGCCCCATGTGGGTTGCTCAGTTTTGTCGTGTCTGGTTGCAGCTCGTAGTTGTACAGGTCTGTCCAGCACTCCGTCCATCGGTCAAGTACTGCTTTGTTTTCTGTAAGAAGATTTTCACTACTGCTCTCGATCACTGTAGTCCTTGGCTGTTGTGTATTTGTGAAATTTCTACGATGCTCCATGCTCTATGTGTGACCTAAACAGTACACCTAGTGGTAGCTAAAAATGCACACATGTCTGTAAACGTTTCCTTTGTCGTGGCCTGCTTTTCTCAACCAAAAGGGTAAGCATATGCGTGTGTACAATAAGGGGCTTGATTTATTTATTTATTTATTTATTTTTCTTCACTCATTCATTCATCGACTCCCCAGGACCGGTATGCCGAGGCGCAGGCCCAGCCCCCTGTGGACGAGAGTCAAGACTGGGAGCTGGTGTCTGGGAACGAGAACGGGACTCACACCGTCCTGAGGTTCAACCGGAAGCTAACGACTTGTGACGTCAAAGACCGCGTCATCAACGTGAGTATCCACCAGTTTCCCATCCCCAGAATGCAACGCGAAAACGCGGGGTAACCCTCATTTGCATAGGACTGGAAGGCATCGGAATGATCCTGTTGACGTTAAACAACTTGCTTTTTACTGTCTTTTGAGGTGTTGGGGCATTTTATGCTCATCATTAATTAAATTACTATGGGCCGAATCTAACAATTAATAGTGAATGAAGTTTTAGTGTTCTTTTCAACATTGAACATGTGATTTGCAACGTTACAGCGTTAGTATAGCGTTACCACTACAACGTTACAAACCACATATTCCAAAAAAATTCATTCTCTATTTGTTGTCAGATTCAACCCATAGTAATTTAATTAATGTTGAGCATAAAATGCCCCGACACCTCAAAACACAGTGAAAATCAAGCTGTTTAACGTCAACAGGATCATTCCGATGCCTTTCAGTCCTATGCAAATGAGGGTTACACCCGCGTTTTCGCGTTGCATTCTGGTGATGGGAAACTGGTGAAAAAAACGGAAATTAAAAGTTATGGCTTTGAGTAAAACCAGAGTCAGACACGGTTCTGAAATCGTCGGCGAGGCAAATCTACGTTCGTGTGTACGTTTTTGTATATTCTTTCTACGACTCGGAAATTCTTTTGGCATGATAATACAGGATATCATTTTTGTATGATAATACAGGATATCATTTTTGTATGATAATACAGGATATCCTGTATTATCATACAAAAAGGATTTCCGAGTCGTCCACGGCTAATTCTCTAGAAGCGCATATGATCCTAGGAGCAAAACTAGATAGGCGCAGCAAGGTTCTGCTTACATACATTACTTTATCCACCAACTTCGTGTCTTGGGGAGGAACAGTATGTGGCCATTGTCTGGTATAGCTAGAGTTAAGCCTGGGGGCTGTTTGAGGTATGCCGTACCTTGTCAGTGTCCTTCGGCACGGATCAGTGGATAATAACCGATCTCTGTCGTTCCCAGGCTGACACCATGCGGGTTCTGTGGGCATGGCATGATGACGACCCTGAGGACGAGAGCGGCCCGGCGTACCACGGGGCCAACCGCGGGGTCCGGAGCACGGTCCTGCTCAGTAACAACATCGCTCCGGACAACTTCAAGGAAACGAACTACACAACAGTCGATCTACTGATGAACAACGTAAGGTTTACGCTCATTTCACTTCTCTTCTCATTACATTTTTGCATCTTTAGCATCTGAATGTTAAAAACGCTATGGCCCTGTATTGTTATCAAGCGGCGCTATCTGGGTGCTGCCATGTTGGGATTTCAACGCCATGCAGGCGCCATCTTGTTTCCGTTTCCGGTTGTTGACGTCACGTCTACGCCGACGACAAATTCAATTACATTGATTTCATTGGAAGAACAGCGATTGTGTTGTAACTAATTGTCATTTTTTTTTTTGTATGCAGGTTTCCGTTCCTGCCTACCAGGACACGACTTACTGGTGCCAAGTGTTTGAGCTGCCGGAACTGGCCAGCAAACACCACATAATCAAGGTGTCTATCTCTCGTTGTTTATTATCTAGTCATAACATTTTTGGAAGGATAAACAGGTGCCTATCACCTTGCCATGTAGGCGGCTCGGGAACATGGGTCGTCTGTTTGCTGACCGAGACAACAGCAGCATTCGCCAGCGCCCCGAGTGACCAAGCGCGCCCCGAGTGACCAAGCAGGCCCTTTGAGGATTAGCTCTTCTTGCTCTGAACAGAGAAGAGCCTAGAAAAAAAAATCACCTTGCCATGATGTATGTTTCAAAAGTCGGGCGGTGGAGAGCTCCTGCAGCCCTGAAGAAAACCCGCCCCAACCGCGATAGACTGAATACCAGGTTACGGTATACCCATTGCTTTACCTTACTTTCCTTGACACTGCACAAGTAATTAGCTATCTGGCATGATTTTGCAAATAAGCAAAGATTTTTGCCACGATTTTTCTTTAATAGTTCGAGCCCATCATCTCCCCTGGTAACGAGGGCGTGGTGCATCACCTGATAATCTACACCTGTACGAAGAACAGGAGCGTCACTTTCCTGCCTCATGAACATCCGGGACATGAGTGCCGCACTCCCAACATGCCCCGCGACTGGTACCTATGCTTGGGAGGCAGCATGCTAGCGGCCTGGGGCATCGGGGCTGAGGTAGGTGCCGAAGGGGCTGAGGTTACTGATGTGAAGAGTCTTTTTATTTATCACTCCTTTCCTTAGTACTGAGAAAAATTTCGGCCATCGGGGCTGAGGTAGGTGCCGAAGGGGCTGAGGTTACTGATGTGAAGAGTCTCTTTATTTATCATTCATTTCCTTGGTACTGAGAAACATTTCGGCCATCGGGGCTGAGGTAGACGCCGATTCATGTATCACGAGCACTGATATGAAAAAACTGTGTGTATCATTCTGGAGTCGTCGGCGAGGCCAATCTACGTTCGTGTGTACGTTTTTGGATATTCTTTCTACGACTCGGAAATTCTTTTTTGCATGATAATGCAGGATATCGCCAAAAAAAACAGTTACTCAAGCAACTGGATATGATTTTGAAAACGTCAGACGTTTCAGCTAGTATCCACTAGCTTTCGTCAGTGACTGAGAGACCAGAGGGGAAAGCAGGTTTATAAGCACAACCTATTGATTGATATGCAAATAAAGTGAAGACAAATTTTTGGAAGTCGAAAATTTGTCATTTCCTTGGTACTGAGAAATATTTCGGCCATCGGGGCTGTGGTAGACGCCGATTCATGTATCACGAGCACTGATATGAAGGAACTGTGTGTATCATTCATTTCCTTGAGAATGATTGAGAATCTCTCTTTCCGAGAGAAAGAGAGGGGGAGAAAGAACGAGAGAGAGAACTGTGCCTTTTTCAAGTCTTACCGCTGGACCTGTATCGGAGTGTGTCTGGTTCTGCATGCATCATTCATTTCCTTAGGGTAGAGAAAAGGGGATACACACGGAGGATTGAGATACTTTCTGTTTCTGTCTGTGTGTCTGTGTGTGTCTTTCAAGAGACAGAGAGAGAAGGAGAGCGTTCCATAACAAAATACAGTACATGTACATTCTACTCCTTAGAAACAATATTCACCCTTATACAACATTTCTTACAATACCAACATGCTGCATCAGTGTATCTCTTGTCTCCCCAGCCTATGGCATATCCTGCACACGTTGGCTATCCCGTTGGGGATGCCGACTCCAGCCGATATGTACTTCTAGAGCAACATTACGACAACCCTCAGCTGGTGTCAGGTCAGAAACTACCAAACATTCCTCTACCTATTTTCATTAGCTCTCATCAATGCGACTTTTCTACATTAATAGTATACCACATTTTGGACTGCAATGTTCCAGTATCTAAGGTAATAAAGCAAATGTTGTATGAATAAAGTCATCGATCGCATCTTACTTGTGTGTGCGGCTGAATCTGCATGCAGAGTAAATGTCAGTGGCAACATTACAGGTTTAACTAGTCTCTAACATGCAGTCTCTGAGAGTCTTTAATGCTTTGAATCTTCCTATTTTCATGTTTCTCCTTCAGCCCAGCGATAAAGATGACAAGCGATCATCGAAACGTCTGTTTTTGTTAAAAAAAGTGGGGGGACGTGTGGGTCTTCGCAATTTAGTCATTCACCAACCTGATGAACTTCTTAACGAAGTCCTCTCCATTTCCTTAGTAGTACTGACATCGTATTCCCGTCTTTACTGCAGGGATCCGTGACAGTTCGGGGCTGCGGCTGACGCTAACGCCGGAGCTGAGAGACCACGACCTGGGGGTCTTTGAGGTCGGCATGCCGCCGATCAAGCACCACGTCATCCCGCCTCACGCCGAGGAGTTCAAGTCGGCCGGGTTCTGCAACCCCAACTGTCTCAACGCGGTAAGTACCTTTTATCTTAAGAGAACAAAAATGCTCCTGCAGTTCCTGAGAATGTTGCTAGGGGGGCCAAACTCACGCCACGTCGTCCCGCCTCGCGCCGAGGGGTTCAAGTCAGCAGGGTTCTGCAACACCAACTGTCTCAACGCGGTAAGTACCTTTTTATCGTCGTATAAGGAAACAAACATGCTCCTGCAGTTCCAGAGAATGATGCTAGGGGGCCCAAACTCAGGTCACTTCTTCCCGAGCACAAGAGCTATCTACCATTAACAATTTGCGACCCTAGCTTGTACAGATCACAAGCTATAAAATTCGACCAAGAAAGTTCCGCTGCAGTACCATAATAAGTCACTGGACGTTTTGTTGCGTCAATAATGCCTCTTTTGATCCAGTGTCGACGTCACACTTCAATGAGGCCACGTGAAAAGTCTCACTGGGTCCGTCTAATGAGGAAGACTAGAGTGACTGGTCGAAACCTCTGGATGAGAACAATTCTTTGTGTTGGAACAAAAGTTTATAGTCTATAAACATCGTTACGCTCCCTTCTGTGTATAGTTCCTGGAGGAGCTCGGGGAGCCGATCCACATCATCGGACTTGAGCTTCACTCCCATCTGCTGGCCGTTAAGATGAGCGCCCGACTGATCCACAACGGCAAGGAGATCGAGATCGCGCGGGACGACAACTACGACTTCAACCTGCAGTTCTTCCGGATGCTCAAGGAAGAGGTCACCGTCTATCCGGTACGAGAAGTTTTTTTTTCTATTACTTTAATATATAATATAATATTTTCCACCGTTTTCATAGTCTTGACGTGAGTCAGGGTTTCGACCCGCTTTCCTGGCGAGCACTGAGTTGTGGGATGCGTGACGTAATGGGTGGGCCAGAGTCTCCCCACAAGTCTGTACCGATCGCCGTACCGGTTCGACTTGGGATCTCGTAGGTTACAACGTGTAGCATCTGTCTATGTGGTTACAACATTTCGTGACTCTGTGTTAAATCTGATCCTTTGCGACTTCACGATAAAGTTATACATGAATCTGCATGTACCACTATTCAAATCACCATCTATGGATAGATATCCATCTATCTAAGACCTATATGTGGTTTTAACCATTGTTCTGACGTTTCTATTTTCCAGGGCGATACTCTGGTTACGGAATGCACTTACCGCTCAACGCACAAGGACAAAGTTACGTATGTAAGTAGAACGTTTGGTCGTAACTCAAGTTCAATGTACAGTTTTACACATGAAAAAAAACATTTCTATTAAAATGACAAAACCCACATACCATTGAAACGTGGAAGTAAGTACTGATTATCCACTGCCTCCAAAGAAGATGTCGAGTCCCTCTAAGATCTGGCAAGAGATGACATTGAACTAAGCTCCCCCCCCCCATGGCTTTTTCCAAATCTAAAGTTGTGGTCTTGTTGTTATATATATATTCCAGGATTTGTTTTATCTATAATCATACCCAGACATGGCTGTACATGCAGCTATAGAGTGGTTATTTTTAAATACGTTTTCTTACTCTGTGAATGAGGTCATGACTTTAAGATGGAGCATTATGGGCAGTCGTGTTTGCAGCTAGAACACAGGGACCCTTTGTTTGATCGGCATGTTATTTTATACGTCGTCTGCAGGCATGCCCTTTCTGATGCATGTGTTTTCATTTTGCCGTAGCTCTTTTCTTGGTCAATGTAATATTCCAAAAGCACCCCTAAATTTAAGAGGCTTGTGGAACTTGCCGCAAAAATCCCGTTATTTTGAATAGCGGATGGGGGAGGGTTTCTTTCAGGCATATACGGATTTTGGTCGATCCGTGATTAAAACAGCTGTTTAGTTGCATGTGATCGAAATGGTGAGCCGTTCTCCAATGTGTTTACAGGGGAAACTCATTGTTGTCATCGCTGTGTTTCTTGGTAATTGAACATGTGATGTGCCGTTATATCCGTGATGATGCACGTCGTTCTCTTTACACCTTAGCTGTTTTTATATTGGGAATAGGCCGTAGATTATGTAGCTGTGTTGTAGGCTCGGTTTTGAAAGCAGATATTAGGTTGTTGTGTATAATCGTTTTCGAGTATCTGTTTGGATTGTGACTTGTTTGTGACTGTGATTGTGTCACCTTTGGACCCTTTTTTTGTTGTGTTAACCCATTGCCTGGTCCCACAGGGCGGCCCTGGAACCCCGAACGAAATGTGCCAATCCTACATCATCTACTACCCACAGTTCAACCTGACGTTTTGCGAAAGTCTGCCGAACTTGTTCGACACCACGCATTTCGCTGGAGTCCAGAGGTTCGAATAGTACGTGGTTATTTCATTTCGTTTACCTAATTGCATCAATAAAACAGCAAACATTAATCAACAAACACATCGAAGGTTAGACATCTAGGTAATAAAATACGCCAAAATGCAGTTACTCGATCAACTGTATATGATTTTAGAAACGGTCAGACGTTTCAGGTAGCATCCACTACCTTCCGTCAGTGACACTTAGTCACTAATGAAAGGAAGTAGAGCTTTAAAAAAGTCAATGTGAAGGAGGAGGAAAGAGGCTTGCAATGCTTGTACAATACCCTACTCCTTGAGACTTTGGAAATATCAACCATGAAACTAACATGATAAGTACGTGGTCCTTATTTTGATTTCATATACTACGTACATACTGACGTTTAAGGTATTAACCGTCTTGATACCACCATTCCTTTTTCCAAAAGGAGACCCTAAGTGACAGACTGTTTAAAATTTGTCTTATCTTTTTTATAAATACCTACAGATTCCTTTTCTCTCTGACGAAAAGAGAGGATGCTAATTTAAACACCTGATTTTCAAAATCTCTCCATTTGGCCAATAGCCTGGTACAGGCTAACCTTTATCGACGTTGCAATAACTTGTTGCTTCCAGTGACTTCAGTAGCGGCGAGATGAAAATCACGGCCCCGGAGCGGCTGGTCAACATGTCGTTTGAGGCCGTGATGGAGGCGGTGCCGTGGACGGACCAGAAGGCTCGGGAGTTCTCAAAGCGTCTTCTGGGCAGTCCATTCCCCCACCACACCCACTGCGTATCCAACTTCCGTACTGCCGTTGATACGGTAAGAAGATGGTGGGGCCGTGTGGCGTAACGACAGAGTGCTTGGAACCAAGAGGTCCCGTGTTCGAGTCCTTACATGCCGCCGATCTTGTGACACGACTTTATTTATTTCCTCAATTAACTCAAGTGAAAATGAGTATTGTCCTGTCCTGTATCTGTCCTCTTCGTTATCGGCATAAAATAAGTTTGATAAATAACTTGAATGTGCCATCACCGTGTCTAGTCATGAAATGTTGGAATATAAAAAAGGACATATGGTTGAAATAAAATACAAAAAAAAAAATCCTGTTAACACATAGCTGCTACACCATTGAAATGAATAACGGTCTTTACAACATAGTGTTGCATGCACAGTTACCGGTACTCCAGTGCACTGTGAACCTGTCATAGTAAGCCCTGAGCTGTACAACTGCAGGTCCGGGCCCTTTGGGCTTGCGGCGAGTGTGGTTGTCCCAGTGGGCTGGTGTCCCGGGTTCAACTCCCTAGAGTCAATGGGAGAAACTGTACATTATAGAGCTTATTCACCACACGTCATCATGACGTTACTATTCCTCATGTCCCGTGCGACGCCATTTTGGGGTCCATCTGTGCAGCGAGTTTCCAGGCGTTGAAATGGCCGACAAACGTTAGATAAACTGTCCTTTGTCCGATTACACGAAGAGTTTACCACCACTCATACCTCTCGTTACTGAAACAAAATAAAATCTGTTGGGATTGACCCGTTTTTGTTGAGTTTTGATCAGTCTGATCGAGACGGCGTCTCCCGCCAGCGGAGTCCATTGACGCGACTAAGCTTCGTATTTGGTACTCACGGGGCAGAAGTTTTTACACACAGGATCGGTTCAAACCCTTTAAGAGTCTGGAAGCGTTGTATCAGGATGTGTAGAGAGTGTTGTGGGACATGCAGTTTCGTGGTGACAAGTACGTTGTAGTCGGGATACGCAAAGGGTCGCTATTTTCGAACATCCCCGGACTGTGTCTGGATAAATTATTATAACAAACAAATGCGGGGCCATCGGCCGCCGGCCGCCATCCTCAGTCCGCACTGCCGCGACTGTGGCTGGACAAGGTGAGTGTTACAAGTTGCCAGGGCCCTGTTCTACATGGACATTTACCACAGAGTAAAGGGACAGGTAGCTTCAACAGATTTAACGTGTCCATGGCTACCCACGTTGACATCTACCATCTACAGGCCCTTACGCCAGGGTAAAACACACCGATTTCTGATCAGCAAAAAAAAGCCGATAAAAGCCGATCTTGAGAACATGAGACGTGGTCATGGAGCCAGAACAACCCCAAGGACAATGTTACGAACAAGAAGAGTGTTCAAAACGTAGATTGTGGCCCAAAATACGCAACTATCGCCAAGAGTTTGCATAGCGTACCATAGCGATAGGCACCATGCTGCACCCCTAATGGCGGACAATGCTCGTTGCCGGGGGAAGAGTCACGTGACCATCTGTGGTGAATAAGCCCTATAGAGTCCATAAGTGTTTTATTCGCAAATGTTTTATTCGCGGCAGCCATTTCGGTAACGGTCTGTCACCTTCCATCTTCAGTGCAATTCTGACTGGTTCACATTGCATTGCAGCAAAGATGCACGTGCCGCTGCTATAGCATTCCCATGCGGAAAATATCATCTGTAGGATTACATCTATACCAGCGACACCTGTGCTGCAGTGCAACGTAAACCAGTCGGAATTGCCCTGAGGAAGGTGACAGACGGTGACCGAAACGTCTGCTGTGAATACCAACATGATGAAACTATTGACGGTTGTGCAACAAAATGTTTCACACCGATAACTCACTCCGATTTTTCCATTGCTCACAGAGCGCATTGGAAACCGACGTGCCCTTCCCACGTGGGACCAAGCCGGTCCCTGAGAACGTCTGCAGTAGGAGGACCACGTCTGGCCAAGCGACCACCCGCGTGCCCGGTCTGGCTCCAGCGACGCTCGTCTGCATGGTGGCGCTAGTCCTCGCCATCTAGAAACCGTGATTTGGAACGATCATTGTGTCCAGAACCGTGCCTATCTAGTTCTATGCCTAATTGGTTTCTGGATAGTCTCTATTGTATCCACAACCGTGCCTATCTAGTTCTATACCTGAATGGGTTCTGGATAGTCTCTTTCGTATGCAGAACCGTGAGTATATCTAGTTCTATGACTGAATGGGTTCTGGATAGTCTCTATTGTATCAATAACCGTGAGTATATCTATTTTTATGCCTAAATAGGTTATGGTTTTCCCGTCATATTCATACAGGGCTGCCTGCCCCTGGTAGTAAGGCGTGATAGTCTCCGCGTGTCCAAGAACGTTGATGTTCTCCGGGATGTGGTTCTAGATACGTGTGGAATATCCAGAGGAAACATGGTTCTAAATAAAGCTAAAGCACGGTTCGGGATACAACAACAAGACCACTTAAACTGAACTTCAGATTTGAAAAAAAAAAATCTTTAAAACCTTGCCGTTACGATAAGAGACTCTAACTGTATGGTTTCCGATAACCCATTGCCTTTTACCTTGTGTGCGCACGTGCCTTCAATGCTCCAAACATTTAAGATCATTTAGCGTATTCTATACATTTATATATTTTGAATTGTGTTAGAATCTAAAGATGGGGTATATGTTAGTTGTACCACTTTCGGCGAATTGTATGGTAATGAACGGTGTATATAATTATGGAAAGTATACGGGGCGTTCGTGTATGCGTGTGTGAGTTTGGGCCCCCTAGCGGCTTGCTCTGGAACCGTAGGGCTATCTGTTTAAAAATAGTCAAAAGAGGTAAACTCAAGAACCGGTTGACGGATCGTCGTGATGTTTGGTATGTAGGTAGCTTACGTGATGCTTGATATAATTATATGAAAATTATGCAAATATGGATCTAATTTGCATAATGTATGGTGAAATTCCATAAATCAATAATTTTTTTTTGGTTTACTAATAACTATGTGTTTTCTTGAGTTTAATCATGTTTTTGTTTGTTTTGCTAATAGCTATGTGTATTTGCTACGTGTGTAGCTATGCGTAGTTGCAGTATAACTGTATTACACCAGTGAGCAATTAAGTAATCATCTATCAGGATCTCCATGTCGTTTTCATATTTGGCACTTTAACTGTGTACCGTAGCTTAAACATTGCAAAAATATCCAGGTGTTAGTGATGTATAAGGGTGTATATTGTATCTCTCTACATAGAAACAAACTCACATTAGGATATTAGGATTGTCGTTGTTATTGAGTGCAACACATGGTTTAGGCTGGTACTACATGTACGTATGTGCCTCGATGAATAAACTGAATAAGCGTCATTCTATAACTTATAAATCCTCTTAAGCAAGGTACCGTATGTATCTGTCTGTGTCTGTATCTATGTATAGCCGGTATAACTGCCCTTCGGTGTAACACACCTTCCCTCTCAATAAACCACGGTAGTAAAATCTGGGCTGCAAAGTTCCCACATGTCATAGAATCCGAACTGTGTTCGATGGTGTTCGATCTGGGCAATTCGAATCGAACCCGCGTTCTATTTTGGGGTCACCTGCGGTCATTTACTATAAAGCGGCAAAACAAGCCTTTCTGCCCTTCGTGCATTGCAACACATAAAAAACAACACTTTTCTATAGATACAAACAGTTTCCTGGACAGTACATGTCCGCTATAATTTTTGGTGGATATGTAACATGTAGCGAAGCTACTGTCGTATCCTTGGGTGACCTTGAATACTGTAATGATTCTTTACGCCAGTATGAATAACACAATACACACTTTCTGGCGATATGACATGTCTCCAAAACTCGTTCAAACCTGGAAACATGGAGAGTCAAACATACCCCATTTACGGCTCAAAATGACTGTCACGGTTGTCCCGAAAATCGTGTTTTAGGGATTTTTGAAAAATGGCCTCAATTTTGAATTATGGGTAATTTAGTGAGAAAAATGTCAAAAAATGTCATTTTTTCACCAATATGTCGACAAAAACTAGACTTAAAATCAGAAATTAAAAAATCCCTAAAACACGATTTTTAATCATATTCCTAGTCTGCGAAAAATATAAATATCGGGGATCTGGGGTAATATACGTAGCCAGGTTTGAACGAGGTATGCCTAAAAACGTGACATGACTTGTGCCGAGAAACCCGAAAATAATCGTCTTTCTGAGCGAAATTTCAAAAAAATCAATGATTAAACATAAAAAGCTAACATTTAAAGGATATTAAGACGATAATTTTATTTTAATTTGACGAAATTTACCCCTAAATATTATTTGTTTATTTTCAAATATTTTACGGGTAGTCCAAAACAGGCCAAAATAGCGTCTTGTAACCCGATACCTTTTCGAACGTGCATAGCAATGGGAAAGAATGCCGTAGTGACAGACCGCCGTGAACGGTATCAAACTACAGCAAGTAAAAGGGACTGAATATTTTTGGTGTATTTGCTTGGGCTAATTTGTGTTGGAACTTCCACGAGAACTAGCACCCTGAACAGGCATGGCCTTACGTTAACAACAGCCTCCAGATTCGCCGTCAGCCGCCAAATGCCCTTCCCCACGACACCCCAGATGGTAGAAGTGGATGGATAAAGTAAGTAAGTACTCCCACGTGGACTACATCTGTGCCAAATCCTGTTCCTCAGATGACTCAAGCACTTTCACCTTGACATTAAAGATGTTGTCACCGTGTACACTTCAAATATTCATCCGATTACGTTGTATAGACAGCTTTGAAACTATTGTTTAAACTCTTTCAAAACGTTTCCCCATGTCACACATAACAAAATAGAAATGAAATAAAGGCCATTTGCATAATTTGTAAGGGCATGTTAAAATGAAATATCGCCAATGGATATGAACTTCACACGTAAATATTGCAATTTACTAGATTATGTTAATTACAACCTCATCTACATAATTAACATTTACATAAACTCAAATGCATTTATTTGAATCCTTGTTGTTTTTAGCGCATCTGTACTAATTTCGTATATGTGTGTGTGTTTTTGTGTGTGCATGTGCGTATGTGTGTGTGTTTGTGCATGTGTGTGTGTGTGTGTTTGTGCGTGCGTGTGTCTCTGCGTGTCTGTGTCTATCTATATGAATCTATACTTCTATGTTCCTCCCCCTCTTTCTCCCTTTTTCTTCTTCTCTCTCTTTTTCGGTTCGTTAAATTCACACTGAAATACCGCATATCGAAGGTAGGTATATGTATGTAGAGGGACGTGGAATGAACACCACTGATGACGGTACGTATTAGTGTTCCAGATTTATTAATTATAAATCACTCCACCCTTTGTCACCACAAACAAGCACGTCGGCAGAACGTACTGCCTCCACTTCCAACTTTCTCGGCCAGAACACTTTTTGCTACTACAACAGAAGCAAATTACTCTTTCTTCGTCCATGCTACATCTCTCAGAAGAATGTTGCACACTAAAAGCATCTTTCCTAGAACTACGTTACTATGAAACGAGATTCCTTTTGAGTTCATCCCAAATAGGTACAGCTTTGTTGGTAGGTATAAGCCTTGTTTTGAGATGGAAATTGAAGTAGATAGAAAAAAACTGCGTGAAACCCAGTTTTTTTTTACGTTTTTCGTTGGATGTTAGGTCATCGTTGAATTTTGTCTGTTGCAGACAACACTTGTGTGTAAAAAATAGACGGTGTGTCATTCTTAAAATTGAAAAACACGACCTGTAATGAGACGTTTTTGCTTGCTATGCACAATACTTAACGGGTTTCAGGCAGGCGCAGTACCTTTTTTTCTTTTAGCCGTTTACCTTAGAACGCAGCCAATTATTTAAGATTGTCAAAAAGTTAAAATGCATTTACTCATTTTCAATCGTCTATTGACCAAATGACCGTAGTGCAGATAAAGATTTAAGATATATCTGTTGCACAAATAATAACGTCTTTGCATACTTGAAAATACAAGATAAGGCCACACTAATTTAATTAGTTGGTTCTCGGATTTTCTTCAGAAAAAATATGAGGCGACAGGGCTAAAAAATAATCCAGACACGATCCAGACACCTTATTATAGCCTCAAATGCTACGATAGGAGCCATGAAGTCAACACAAAAGGCTGGGTCAATATTTAAACTATGAATTTTGAACTTTTAATCACACTACTGCATTAATCATTATGGCAAAAACTGTAACAACTTCCAAGAATAGGCCTTTCCTCAACTGTTGGGGGCAAAATATTGGCATTTTTTAGTTAACTCCGAACCAGAATAATTTTTTGCTAATCAGAAAAAATGAAAAGGGCGAATCCGATATCCAACAAATTAAATTTATCTGGCCTAAGTCAACTTTCCAACATTCAGCATTGGTAAATATAAAATGTATACATGTAGCGCTACGCAAAAGCGACGCCTAGCGACAAAACCAAACTTAGCAGAGCAAATTATCTTAGCGTCGACAAGTGGAGATTAACGTTGTACAAAAAGTTTTAAAACTATTCTTTAAACGCTTACAAAACATTTCTCCATGTCACACCTAGCCGAATATGTCCTCAAAAACACTGGCCAACTTTACCCAACTTCCATTCGATTTGTATAGAAGATGATGCGTATACAGATAATAACACACTACTCGGATTCCTCAATACAATAAAATGAAATGAATACTGAAAGAAAATTACAAAATGCAACTTTAACATCATCACTAAGGATGAATTACAGAAATAGTTGTAACAGCTATTACGACACTAGAATTAAGTAAAATTTACATTCATTTTGAAAACGCATTCAGCCTGGTGCCTTTGTAAAACATTATTAGCCTTTTACAGTGCATCGCTCTGCTACTAGTTTTAACTTAGATGGTCGTTATATAAGTAACACAGCAAGTGTCAGAAAATGCTTTCCCTGTTTTGGTAGGGAAATTATTAGTACGAAAAATCAGTAACTCTTACTACACAGTGTGGATTCACTGTGGTGGATTGTTTGTTCCATCTAACATATTAACCTTTGTACAATTGGTATTCACGGTG